TTGAGAGCACTGGCTGCTCCTGCAAAGAACTAAGATTCAGTTCTCAGCACCCACTTGGCAGCTGACAACCACTTGTAACTCCAGTATCAAGGACCTGATGCCCTCGCCTGGCCTCCGTGGGCATTTCACGCATGTGGTGCGCTTACATGCAGGCAAAACATTCATACACATAAAATAAAAATAAACAGCCAGGTATGGTGGTGCACCCCTATAATCCCAGCACTGGGGATGCAGAGGCAGGTGGAGCTCTGTGAGTTTACATAGTGATTTCCAGGCCAAGTGGGGCTAAAGGGAGATCCTGTCTCAAAAAACCAAAAATAAAAATAAAAATAAAAAACACCTTTTTGAGAGAGATAAATAATGCCTAGTTGTGTGAAAAACAAGAGGGAAACACATTAGCCCAAACACCTACTGAAAAATTACACATACAATTTCTCTATGTAAGTCCCTGTGTACAGCTGAAGGCTACATAACAAGAAACAGTGCCAGAAGGAGAAAACTTCCTTTGAGTTGTTGGCCAGGGTGGTCCAAGAGACTCGCAAAATTACACAGGCTGTTGCCACAGTCCTTGATGGCCTCCCAGAACTTGAAGGTAAGCCCTACTGCTGAAGACAGGACATACTTCAGACATAGGTCTTGGAGCAGTGGAGCTGGAACTGACCTGGAAGCCACCTCCCCTGAAGACAGCTCTCATGACTTTGGAGAGCACCAAGCAAGCTGGTAAGGGAGAGCATCAGTTAATGATTCAAGGCCTAATAACCACATCAATGACCAGCACAGCAAACGACATTGGTATAGTAATGGCACTTTTATCTTGCGGGTGATCGATAGTTACCTAACTGGACTTAAACCCCATTCAATGGGAAGAAACTCATGTGTGGTACTGTAAACATGGCCGAATGCAAATGGATGGAGAGGCCATAGATCTTAGAGAAAACCCCAAGGCTGTCACATCCCTAGACAAATGAAATTTCTTACTATGTGCAAAATATGGATCCTTAAATTTACAGACAAGTATCCCAGTCATCACACATCAAAGAAGCTTCTTTTTCAACAGATGGAGACTATCACAGAGTTCCACAGCTGGTCACTCACAGAGATTAATTGTCTGGGAAATGCCCAATCCTAAGTGACACATCTACAACGGAACCTGTACACCTAAGGCTCATGGAACACAGTAGAATGGGGGTAGAGAGAACACTAAGGCATCTCTCAACTCTCATCATGAAGCTCCCTCATGCGACAGAGGGCAATGAACACAAAGGGTCACAGATGGCCAAAGCATAGAGATTAAGAGTTTGCAGAATGTGGGTCCTTGGACAGGACTCCTATGTTAAACTCCACCCACCCAGGCCTCAGGGACCATTGCGGAAGAGAGGGCAGAAAGATTGTAAGAGCCAGGGAGGAGGTGCATGACCATAGGGAAATGGTCCTACAGGCACCTGGGACCCTTCTCCTATAAACCTACAGCAGTGGTGTCAGCACGCACAAGACCCATGCAAACTCAAGCAGACAAAAACCCAGCACAGAACTGTGGAAATGGACAGCAGGACCCAATCTTAGCTGAAGAATTATTGGCAGCTGATTACTGCTGGGTGAGGAAGAGCTGATCTTAAAGGGAGGGACACTAACTTGACTTGATAGGGCTTAACATAAATGACAGAATGCATGAAATCCAGTGTGTGGGAGGGGTATTTGGGGAGACCAATGGGGAAGGAGGTATAAAGATGATTAAGATGTTGTGTATGGGGCCGGGCGTGGTGGCACACACCTTTAATCCCAGCACTCGTGGGGCAGAGGCAGGCGGATCTCTGTGAGTTCAAGGCCAACCTGGTCTACATAGTGAGTTCCAGGACAGCTGGGGCTACAGGGAGACCCTGTCTCAAAAAGACCAAAAAAAGGAAAACAATATGATATGAAAATTTTTAAAATAGAATAAATAAAAACCTCTTTTAGTGATCACATCCTGCTTTAGTAGTTTGTCTTGTGCTTATCACCTGGACCATTTTTTTAGCCAATATACAATAATATAAATGTAAGAAATGAAATCTTCAGGGGATCAGCAGTTAAGAGCACTGGCTGCTCTTGCAGAAGACCTGGGTTTGATTCCCAGCACCCACATGGCAGCTGACAACCGTCTGTAACTCCAGTTCCAGGGGGTCCGACAGCCTCTTCTTGCCTCCATGGGCTTTGCACGACACACAGGTGCATTCACATACATGCAGGCAATACACTCATACATGTAAAATAAAAATAATAAAATATTTTTAAAAGGAAATGAAATCTTTTCTGGAAAGAAAAACTTTCTTTTGGTCATTTTGAGACAGGGTCTCCCAGTAGCCACAGCTGGCCTGGATTCACTATGGAGACCAGGCCTGCCTCTGCCTCCCAAGTGCTGGGACTAAAGGTGTGCACCACCACCCAGTGAAAAGCATTTTTAAACTATGTGTTTGTCTATCTCTTCAATACCCTGGTTCTAGAGCTAATAGCCACCTTGGTGATATTTGTTCCTTTATAAATTAGCTATTAATGTTTATCTTAGTGTACGAGTGTTTGCTTGCATGTATGTAAGTGCACCCATGTTGTGAAATGCCTGAGGAGGTCAGAAGAGGAGGCCAGATCCCCTGGTACTGGAGTTACAGATGGTTGTGAGCCACCATGTGGGTGCTGGGAATTGAACCCAGGTCCTCTGCAAGAGCAGCCAGTGTTCTTAACTGCGGAGCTGTCTCTCCAGCCCCTTTACTTGTTTCTTAACATGTCAGTTGTAACTTGTAGCATTATAATTTTGTCATCTACAACTACCCCCTTACTTTTACTGCTCTGACTACGTGCTAGGACCTCACACACTCCAATTTTATGACTTTTATGACTCTGGCTACATGCTGGATCCCCATGTTCCTAAATTTCAGTGATTCTTACCAAAGTGTTTCCTTCCCCATTCAATTATCCAATATGATTTAGATTGTGCGGTTGAGCAGCCAAGCTCTGTTATGTTAGGTATAAAAGGGAGAGGCTATCTTAACAGGGCCACTGTGGGATTCAGGGCGGCTTTTTGCAGAAGTCAAACTTTTTGCCTTGCCACAATGCTTTGGATTACGTGGTCATTTTCTTGGGACCCCAGACCCATTTCTAACAATAGGAGAGATGTCAAGTCCTTGGTTTAGCTCCAGGGCTCCCAGTCAAGAGACTTAGTATTGCTCTAACTTGCATATCAATTCCATGTCTCATTCATGCACAGACCTCTTCTGCCTCTGTAGACTGCTTAAAAGCCAGGCAGGTCATTTCACAGGACACCACCTACCCAGTGCTAAGACTTCTTGTGGGCTCAGGCATACCATAGGAAGGGCTATGTGTGAATTATAAGGGTCCATCCCATGAGGTGGGATATACGGATGCAGCTTGGCGTGATGGCAGCCACTGTGAGCCACAGCCACCGTGACTGACTGAGTCACCACAGTTGGGTTTTCCTGCATATTTTCCCAGCAACCCATAACACACAGAGCCACGACAGCATGTGTGGGACTGGATGACTTGGAGGGATGACCCTGGCTCTTGATAGTATTTGAAGATAAACCAGAGACATTCCAGCCCAAATACATTTTTCTCCTAACCCATAAAGATGCCATCTTCTGACCAAATTCAGGGATCACTTGGTATCATGGCTGCCCAGGACCTCCTTATGAGACCCTCAATAAGTCACACTCTGCCCAGTCCTAGTTTCTGTGTGTGTGTGTGTGTGTGTGTGTGTGTGTGTGTTCATATACATGTCTGTGCAGGTGCACATGGACGTGAAGGTTAGAGGTCAACATCGGGTGTCTGCCTCAATGCCTCAATCATTTCTATCCTTTCAAAAGATTCTTGGAATTACATTTTCATTAATTTATTGTGTGTGCACACATGTTCCTGCATGTGGGTGAAGGTCAGAGGATAACTTTCAGAGCTCAGTCCTCTCTTTCCACGTGGGTCCCTAGGATTGAACTCTGGTTAGCAGCCTTGGTGGCAAGCGCTTTTACCCTCTGAACCATCTCACCAGTCCACCACCGACCCTTTTTTTTTTTTTTTTTTTTTTTGAGACAGGGTCTCCCTGTAGCCACAGCTGACCTGGCACTCCCTGTGTAGACCAGGCTGGCTTCAATCTCACAGAGACTTGCCTGCCTCTGCCTCCTGAATGCTGGGGCTAGGCATGCACCACCACACCCAGCTCACCACTTTATTTTTTGAGACAAGGTCTTTCACTGAATGTGGAACTCAAGATTGAGTAGGCTGGCTGTGGGCCCCAGAGATCTTCTGTCTCTACTTCCCCAGTGCTGGGATTCCAAGTGTGCACCACCACGTCCAGCTAGTCTCATGGATGTTGAGGATCCCAACTCAAGTCTACCTGCTTCTACAGCAAGCACTGTACCAACTGAGCCATTCTATAGCACCCTGCATGTCTCTGGTCCCCTGCACCTGAGAATTATTCCAGAGGCAGTCTCCTGCAGGATTCTTAGAGGAGGAGGAGGGAGAGGAGGAGGAGGAGGAGGAGGAGGAGTATAATTTTTAGGTGCATTCCAACCACAGGGCTCCTCTTCTTCCCATCCAAAGGGCTAAAATGTCCAAATTCAAGAACCAGGGCATAACTGGATATGGATATTAGTAAGTGGACATTGTCAACCAAGCATGGTGGCATATATTTATAATCCCAGCATTCAAGAGGTGAAGACTGGAGGAGCACAAGTTACAGGTCAGCCTGAGTCACATAGCAAGACCTTGTATTAAAGAAACAAAGCAAGACAAAGAAGAAAGGAGGAGGTCGAGGAGGAGGAGGGGAGGAGGGGGGGAGAAGCAGGGGGAGGAAGAGGGCCGCCCACACTCACAGCTCTGTTTGAGCTCATTCCCCTGATTCCTGTGAAAAGGCACCACACCTTCTCACTTCTAGAGAACTGGCCCAAGCCCTGGACCAGCCAGCCAACTGGGCCCCAGAGGACAGCAGGGGATTTAGGGCCCAGTAGAAGCCTCCAAACAGCAAGCGTGGACTGAGAATTGGGAACAGCCACAGTCAGCAGGTGACCAGCAGGTGAGGAGATCCCTTCCTGTCCCTCTATCTGCTCCTACAGGCATAGAGCGAGGGCTTTCCTGCCCTCTGCACCCACCTGCTCTCTACCTGGCTCTCAGGCTTGCTGGTGGCTCTGAGGTTGTCCTCTGGGAGGGGTCTTATTGCGAAGGCAGTTGAGGGGGCCTCCATGGCGAGGACTTGGAAGTCACAGTTCTGAATTTGTTGGCCATACCAGCAGGCTCATTGGAGAACAGGATGTCCCACCCTTGGACCCTCTCCACCAGACCCCAGCTCAACTTACTCCCACCAAAGCCCCATCCTCAACTATTCTTGCTTCTATTAGCTAGAATCCACACGGGAGAAGTCTGGGCTAACTCCCTTGGGGTCGCAAGGGGAAACTGAGGCCCACACGGGGGGAAGGGTCTTGCCCCTGTAACCAATGTGACGACAGGACAGTCCAGTCAAGGTCTCTAACTTAGAAGTCCTGAAGATTCACACTCTGATCCTGCCGGCTGGGCTTCGGGGGGTGGGCTGAGCCAACATCCCCTTGAAGTGCCGGGAAGGATGCTTGAGTGGTGGTGGTAGGTGAGCGAGAAGGTTTGGCTCTGTGATAGGAAGCAGAGGGTAGGCCTAGGTGAGCAGAGGGATGCAGGGTGGTCAGGTGGGGGACACAGCCAGGTCTGCAAGTGAGAGAAAGAGGCAGAGCACTCGGGGACTTCTCTGTCGCTGTCTGTCCATTTCTGTCTCCTTGTCTCTGTCTCCCCATCTATCGCTCTGCCTCTCTCTTTCTGTCTCTGTCTCTATCCCCAAATCACTCTCCCCATTTCTGTCTCTCTGCCTCCTTATCATTATGTCCCTCTCTCCCTGTTTCTCTCTCTGCCTCTGTGTCTCCCTGTCTCTCTGTCTCTGTCTCATCTCTGTCTCCCTGTCTCTGCCAATTTGTATGTCTGTCTTGCTGTCTTCTCTGTCTCTGGGTCTCTAGTTCTCTCACTATCTCTGCCATGTCTGTCTCTGTCTCTCTGTGTCCCTATCTCTCTCTCTGTTTCTATTTCTCTCTCTCTCTCTCTCTCTCTCTCTCTCTCTCTCTCTCTCTGTCTCGCTTGTATGTTTCTCTCTCTCTCTTGCCCTCTCTCTCTCTCTCTGTCTCTCTCTCTCTCTCTCTCTCTCTCTCTCTCTCTCTCTCTCTCTCTCTCTCTCTCTCTCTCTCTCTCTCTCTCTGTCTCCATCTCTCCTGTTGCTGTCCCTCCCTGGAAGCCCCTGTTCACAGAGCCCTGGTCCTGAAACCCAGCACATCTCTCCGAGTCTAGAACTGGGCAGCAGGGGTCCAATGGAAAGGGAGGCACTGCTTTGAGACCCTCCCCCACTGAGAGCATCAGGAGGGGGGCATGGGCAGGTGTCCCCTGCTGCTAGCCACTCCCCCAGAGGACCCAGCACCGTGACACCAATCACCAAAGTCCTTGATGAGAGACCAGAAAAACCTCCAGCCACACCCCTGCAGGAGCTCAGGGGATGAGGTGGGGAGGCAAGACGTGTTGCCCCTGAGCCCCCTGAAGCCACCACTCAGCACAGAATGGAGGGTTCTGGGGTCACAGCAGGGCACTATCGGAGTCCCTTGGGTGGGTGTGATCTGGGTTTTGGAGGAGGAGGCCCCATACCAGGGGCAAAGAAAACAGAGTCCCTCCACCTGTGGCCCCTGTGTGGCCCCTTTGCCTGGACACGGTGGACCTCTGCAAGGGTCGGGGGCTCGCCAGGAAGGGCTGCCCAGCCAGGAGGAGGGCAGGGTGTGCTGCTCCGGGGTGTGACAGGTGTTGGGCAGGAGGCAGATGGAGGTCACATGTGTTTAGCAAGGGGGCCTGGAGACTTGCCAAGATGGCTAAGGTTCTGGAACTCAGAGGAGGGGGCTCTCTCGCCCTCAACCCAAAGACTAGGCTGTGAGCTGGTCACTCCTTTGCAGAGCTGCGGAGGGCCCAGCCAGGATGTTCGGGATATTCAGCATCTGGAGCACCTTCAGCAGTGTGGTCTTCTACCTGAGCCTCGCCATCAGCCTGGCCGGGCTGGTGGGCAACGCGCTTCTGCTGTGGTACCTCGGGCTCCACATCGGGAAGGGCCCTTTCAACACCTACCTGCTGCACCTGGCGGCGGCTGACCTCCTCTTCCTGGGCTGCCAGGTGGGCTTCTCCATCACGCAGGTGGCCATGGGCTCCGAGCACGCGCTCCACTTCCCGGTCACCTTCCTGTGGTTCGCCGTGGGGCTCTGGCTGCTGGCAGCCTTCAGCCTGGAGTGCTGCCTCGCTCACCTGCTGCCTTCGTGCAGCCGCTCTGGCTGCCGCCCCAGGAACACCTCGGTGGTCGTCTGCATCCTGATCTGGGCGCTGACCATGCCAGCCGTGCTGTTGCCAGCCAACGCCTGCGGATTGTTGCACAACAGCATGCGCCTGCTGGCCTGTCTCAGCTACCACTGGACCAGCGTCATCTGGCTGGTGGTGCTGGGGAGCGTGGCCTGCGGGGCCAGCATGGTTCTCTTCACCCACGTGACCTGCTGCTTCTTGCAGCAGCCCCCCAAATTCTACAGAGTGGTCCGGTGCTCAGGGGCCCTGGTCTTCTTCTGCCGCCTGCCCCTGGTCTCCTACTGGAGCCTGCGGCCGGCCCTAAACTTCCTGCTCCCCATCTTCCAGCCCCTGGCCACCCTCCTGGCCTGCATAGACAGCAGCTCCAAGCCCCTCTTGTACTACTTGGAGGGCCGGCAGCTCGGAAAGCGGGAACCACTGCGGGTAGTCCTGAACAGGGCCCTAGGGGAGGAGTCCCAGCTGAGCCCTGGGGGGCTGTCCCTGCCTATGAGCCAAGTGTAGGGAGTGTCTGGCCTACACCTACCTGTCCGCATGCTCAAGGCTGCCAGGGGATCCCCAGCCTTGGCCAGACCCTTCTCCTGGCCCTGTTCCTGCCCTGGGGACTTCAGGACTCCTATTTCAACCTTGCACAGAAGACCAAGGGCAGGTAGAGTGTGTGGGTGGAGGAAGGAGGCCCCAGGGATACCATGCCCTGCACACACAGCCCCTTGTCAAGCTGCCCCACTGCTTCCCATGTGAGAAAACTGCCCCTCAATCCCCTGAGCCAGATGACGAACTCCCCTGCCTTCAGCCCCAGGGGGCTGGATGACTGGGGCCTGGGCTTCCCCAGATCCTCCTGGGCCACAACCGGAGCTTTGCCATCTAGGGCAGATGGGCTGGATGACTGGAGACTGCCTTCAGCCCCAGGACAGCATTAGCTGCTCTTGGGGGCAACTGGCCTTTCTATCCTACCACAGAGGCCTCAATGTTTGATGCATCCACTAAACGGTCTCAGTTGAACTGCTGTTTCCCCATCCTTCATCCCCACATACCCCCAAACATCCAAATCCAGAGCCCCAGTTCTACCGTGGGCCACCCGTCTCCAGTCTGGTGTCCCCTCAGAGGCCACCAGGTGGTGCTGTTTCATCACTAAACAGATCTAGTCTGGCTTGCCCCCCCCCCAACATCTGTTCCTGGTCATCTGCCTCTCAGGCACCCCAAGGGTCTTCCTCTTGCCACAGGGCACCCCTGGCTCCTACTTGGACCCATCCCTACCCCTCAGTTTCTTCATGGCTGGTCCTGCTGTCTCCAGCTTCACCTGTGGTTTGAGGAAAGAGGAAGGAGCCGAGTCTCCAAAGCATACAATATTTTGTATGTTTTCTGATTATTAAAAAAACATTTTTTGAAAAACTACTTTGATTGTCATTGTTGAAACATTCACAACCTACCAAAACTACCAGGAAAACAAGTCACCAACACATCCACACAGACGGAGACATTCTTAGTGAAAAGTTCTCTACCCTGCTTCCTCCTGATACCCTGGGAGAATCTTACCCTTTTGTGTGTGGAGTGGGGTGGATGTGTAGGTGTACATGTGGGTGTGAGTGCGTGGATGCGGTGTATGTGTGGAGGTCAGAGGTCAAGCTCAGGTGTTGTCCATAGTGAACCACACACATTTTTGAGGCAGGGTCTCTTGCTGATGAGGGCAGGCCGGCTGTCCCGTGAGCCCCAGGGACCCTCCCATCACCTGGCTTTTAATTGGGTTCTGAGGATAAAATTCAGATCCTTGCACAGCAGTTACTTTACCAACTGAGCTCTCTCTCCAGACCCCATGTTTTTAACTAAAATAAGAACATCCTTTATAGACTGTGAGACCCAGTACAGTGACTGTGGACTGTTGGGTAAAATTTCGTTTTTCATTAGACATGTAATCTGTCACTCAACTCTAGGGACTTTGGACAATGTTTTTAAAAATGGGAAGAAAATGGGCTGGAGAGATGGCTCAGTGGTTAAGAGCACTGACTGCTCTTGCAGAGGACCCAGGTTCGATTCCCAACACCCACATGGTAGCTCACAACTGTCGTTAACTCCAGTTCCAGGGGATCCAATGCCCTCTTCTGGCTTCTGTGGGCATTGATGCACATGGAGCACTTTTACATACATGCAGGCAAAGCACTCATTCACATAAAATAAAATAAATAAAAAAAAATTTAACGGAAGAAAAAACTCCTTGCGGCTCCAGCCAAGAGGAAGCTTCTCTGTAGGGCTTTTGTCCCTCCCGGGATGTAGCTACAACCATCCCGTGTCCCCAGCCCTCCCCAACACTGAGCCTTCTGAACTGGGGTGGCTCCAAAAGGGAGACTGGGAAACTCAGGGTTCTGAGTCTAAAGGGCTCAGAAAGGGTGGGTGGAGAACCCCAGACAGGGGAGGCTGGCTCTGGGGAGGGAGAGCGGGGAGGGGCTGCCCATTCTTTGCCCACGTCACACTAACCCCTAGAAGCAGAAGCAGTGGGGCCCCTTCCCAGAGGCTTGGCAGTGGGCTAGGGTAGCAGCACCTTCAGAGGCGGTACACCCCGCGGTCAGCTGCACCCAGGACACAGACGCAGAGCCTGATAGGGTCCACCATCAGTGCAGGAGAGAACAGGTGGGTAGCCCAGCAGTTGACAGCCCTGACACGCATGATAAATAGCCTGGTCTAGTCAGATGGGGGTACAGGGCCTCTCCTTCCCAGGCTGCTCCTGGGACATGCAGACAACATGGACAGAGGCAGCACCCATGTGTGTCTCAGTCCTGGTGAATTTCAAAGGGAGGCTCAGGGCTAGCCTCAGGCTGGTTTGAGTTGAGGCAGATACAGGACAGACCTGGCTTTGTCACAGAGTAGCTGGGCTCCTGCCTGCTGGCATCTCTCTGGCTGAGTGACCTCCACAGGGTCCCCTGATGGCTCAGAGCCAGATCTGTAGAGGAGGCCAACAGAACGAGCCTTGCCAAGATGGCTAGCCTGGATTTAGCAGTCGGTGGCTCAGCCTAACCTTCGGCTTCTCCTGCTGACCAGAAGCATACCTTTAATCCCCATGCTCAGGAGGCAGAAGCCGGTAGATTTGTATGAGATCAAGGCCAGACTGGTCTATGTTTCAAGTTCCAGCCATCTGGGGCTACATAATGAGACCTTGTCTCAAAAAAGCAAAAACAAGGGGCTGGAGAGATGACTCTGTGGTTAAGAGTACCAACTGCTCTTGCAGAGGACCCGGGTTCAATTCCCAGCACCCACAGGGTGGGTAAAAACCATCCATAACTCAAATTTCATGGAATCTGATGCCCTCTTCTGACAAATAAGTGTTTGCATGTGGAAGCCAGAAGAGGGCAACAGCTCCCTTGGAACTGGAATTACAGATGGTTGTGAGCCACCATGTGGGTGCTGGGAACTGGGTCCTCTGCAAAAGCATTAAATGCCCTTTACTGCTGAGCCATCTCTCCAGCCCCAGTGCCCTAAGTTTTTTTTTTTTTTTTTTTTTTTTTTTTTTTTTTTTTTTACCTTGTTTTTTTTTTTTTTTTTTTTTTTTTTTTTTGTCTTTTTGAGACAGGGTCTCCCTGTAGTCCCAGCTGTCCTGGAGCTCACTATGTAGATCAGGCTGGCCTCTATCTCATAGAGATCTGCTTGCCTCTGCCTCCCAAGTTGGGATTAATGCCACCATACCTGGCTGAAATGTTGACTGGGATGTGTCAATCCTCTGCCCACAATTACTCTAGGCAAGCTTATGGAGAGCTGGCATCGGGTATGTGTGAGTGGTAGGTGTGTGTACAAGTGTACATGTGTCTGTGCATGTGGGTGTGTGCACACTGAGACAAGAGGCCGTTGTCAGGTGTCTCTGCAGCTTTCGACCTTACTTTCGGAGCCTGGAGCTAACTGATTTGGCAAGACTACCTGGTCAGAGCACTAGGGATCCCATTTCTACTTAATCAGTGCTCGGTTTATGGGTAGCACTACCACACCTGGCCTTTAAAAATATTTTATTATTTTAATTTTATGTGTGTGAGTGTGTTTCTTACATGTATATAAGTGCATCCATGTTGCACAATACCTACAGTCAGAAGAGGGCATTGGATTCCCTGGAACTGGAGTTATGGATAGTTGTTAGCTGCCATGTGGGTGCTGGGAATCGAACCCAGGTCCTCTGTAAGAGCAGCCAGGGCTCTTAACTGCTGAGCCATCTCTCCAGCCCCCACATGACTTTTTATATAGGTGCTGGGGATCCAAACTCAGCTCCTTACTCTTGCAGAGCAAACATTGCTGATGGAGTCATTTCTGCAGTCCAAGGGCTAATGTTTTAAGAATGATGTGTCATGGTTGGCTTCAGCTGTCAACTTGACACACCTGGGCAGAGGGCGCCTCCACTGGGGAATCACCTCCATTGCTCTGACCTGTGGCCATGTCTATGGGGTATCTTCTTGATTGTTGAGTGATGTGGGAGGGCCCGGCCCGCTGTGGGTGGTGCCGCCCCTGGGTGGGTGGGCCTGCTCTAAGAAAGAGGGCTGAGTACCAGCCAGAGGAGCAAGCCAGAAAGCAGTGATCCTTCATGGTCTGCCTCAGCTCCCGCCTGACTTCCCTTGGTGATGGAGCATGATGTGGAAGTGTAAGCCAGATAAACCCTTTCCTCCCCAGGTTGGTTTTGATCAGAGTGTTTCATCACAGCAATAGAAGCAGGTGGTACAGGTGTTTTCTGACCCGTGAATGTGGTCTATCTTCTACTTGGTTACAGGTTACACCCATTTCTACCAGCTTCCCTTTGCGATTTTTCATACCAGTGTCTGGAGCAAACCCTGCAGAGTTTACTTTGGGTGTCTGAGGTTTCTAGATACTCACAGGGAGGATCTCCTAATTTCCTTTTCCAGTTGTTGACTGTGCTGATCTATTTCTCTGTTGATCTAATAGCTATCTTTCCCATGTGCTGAGTTGCTGACAACTCCCAAGGCTCTTTTTGGAAATCGCTGAGGATTCTCTGTCCACACTATAATGTCATTTGTCATAAAGACAGTTTCGCTGGCCCTCCGCACCTTGATTTCACACTATCCAGCTTCACAGCCCAGGTGAGGCCTTCTGGCCGAAGCCGTCCTACAGTGCTGAATTGGAACCACGGAGGTGGACATTCCTGGCTCATTCCCGTCTTCATAGGGAACACGCATGATCGTCACCGTTTAACACAATACCAGGTGCAGGCATTTTGCATATTTTCATACATCCATCATGTTGGTATAATTCCCACCTACTCCCAGTTTTCCAAGGGCATTCTTTTAAAATATTTTATTATTTCTATTTTATGTGTATGAGTGTATTGCCTGCGTGTATGTGAGTGTACACGTGTTGCGCAATGCTTCGGAGGTCAGAAGAGGGCTTTGGATTCCCCTGGAACTGCAGTTAAGGACGGTTTGTGATAGGTTGGAATGTTGGAGAGAGCAAGCGGGTGGCGCGGATGGAGGAGGCACCGAGGCACAGATGGAATTCTCAGTGGGATACAGCTCGGGGAA